ACAGACAACCTCTCGTCAATATGCGTTTTTTGCATTGCATAACTGCAAAAAACGCATAAAAACTCGCTCCTTTGCTGCATCAAAGTTATTTCTGCGGTGATATGAAAAGTGAAATCACTTCAGTGTACAGCTGGCTCAAAAGGAAGGCAACAAATACATCCCGTTTTTTGAATGGCAATTTTTTACTCAAAAAAGAGCTTGTAAAAAGGTTTTCAACTACAGGGATGCAGTTTGATTAATTTCAGGAACTGAATTTTATTAGCGACTAAAAATATTACCCCTCATGTATCTCTTTTGTTTCGTCGGGATTGAACATCGCTTTGTGAGGTTCCGGGATAGTTTCCTGTGCTGCTTCTGGATTCACTACTGTTGGATCAAATATGGCATCCATGTCCAAATCAGGGCACTGCACGTAATCGATTTCAACCTGAAATGCTAGATGAAAATATATTGAGCTGTATTTCTATACTTTGTTTAGTATGCTTTTGAGCGTACTTGCTTGTTAGCACATTTCACTGAATGATTCAGCTTTTTCTAGGGAAACAGTAAATATCGAATCCGCTAAGATTTGTCACTGATACGCCAAACCATTTTACACTGTAAAACTTAGGGGAAAAACGTATCAGGACGTATCAAAAAATAGTTGACGAGCAAGCTGTTGTGAGAAGTAGCAGTGCTGTGAAGTAGTAGAGGTTCGAATTCGCCACTGGGATAACCAGTCTGTTAATGATTCAATGATAAAGTGGTGCTGACGTTTGTGGGATGATCAAACCCGCCTCAGCTTTTTTGTAGTAGCCCTCGAAACAAATAGTCAGCGAAAGGCTTTGCAGCTAATAGATGCTGTTGGCACATTCTACCACTCTTGTGCCTCCCGCGTGTCCCAGCTTCTCATGGAAAGCGAGAGGAGGGGAATTCTAATCAGAATGTATTTTCATCATATCTCAGCTCCTGCTTGCAGTATCTAAGGGATAGATATCTGTCACTTTACACGCCGTGAATGTGACACGTAGACTCACATCCGGAAAAATATGGGCTTTTTTGACGCATGTTCAATTTGGAAAAGTACAACCTTAAATGTACACTTTGCAACATATCGAACGAATTTTTCCACCCGATCGCTGTCTTCATGTTGCTCGACGCTCACCGACCGCACGACAGTATTACTGATCATTGCCAGAGGCATCGTAAATTCCACATCGCACGTGGGAGTGAACGCTTCGGGCATTAAGTCGAATGACGAGAGTTCGAAACGACACCGCAACAAGTGTTCCTTGTAGGCAGCATGGTACTTCTCGGGCAACCTTGGAATTCTCCAGACCAGTGCCCGATAGACATGCTCGTATTTTGCTTCACCAATTGCTGCTTCAATCAGAGAACTGTCGACGTTTTGCACCGCACCCATCAAACGATCTTTTAGATTCTGAAAACAAACAACTAGTAGCGCAGACAGGACTCTTCCCCTTCTTTTATGCTTACATCTAACGAAGCTGAAACAAGAGACACGTGGTTTCTTTAGTGCGCGAATAGTTAAGGTGTGGAATGATTTGCCTTCGGAATGTTCGCTAGCACCATTAAAAGCCCTGCTTTGCGGTATCTATTTCGCAGACACTGTAAGTTGAGGAGATAAATTTCCACTGCGCTGATCATGAACGCTGTGAGTTTTCTCCGTGTTTTTGTGTTTCACTTTTTACGTACCAAGAGCATGGAATGTGTGTACTTTAGTATATATGTGTCCTACTTGGCGACTGAATAAAATGTGAAGTGTAAAAGGACATCGATTTTGTTGCACATATTCATTCTTTTTGACTCAGACTACTGGTATTCGTACAGAGTGTATTTTCACAAATGTTCATTTTTGTCACGGTTTTGATTTTTTCCCCTCCTTCAATCGTTCAAACTTCAGTTTTAAAGTTGTTCATGCCAAACTGAAAGTTTTGCAATTTTTGAAGGAAAGCACGAAAAAATATTTTTCATGGTTTTTTGCATGTTTATTTTCATGTAAGCTATAGCCTCGCATACGGATACGGTAAATCTCGGGCTACGAAAACGCATGGTCGCACGAGCAACACTAATGCTTATTACTACTCAGTTTTTACTTGAAATGTAAGTTATGAGGAACTCTCGAGAAGCAACCAGGCAATTAAAAGAAAATCAAAATTCCTGACCTTAACCTTGCCTGGCCGCCTTACTTTTGCATGCACAGATCCAACCCCCCAACGACGTTCTTCACGGAACAAATATATCCATGCTTCAGGAACTGGAAAGCGGATCTGGATATCTTCGCAGGGTACTTGACGTTTCGAACTTCGGCCGCTTTTCGATTTATCAGCTTGAGCAGCAGCCATTGCTTCAATTCGAATTTCGACCTAAAAGTAGCAATTAGGAATCTTTAGCGCATGTTTTTGAGTCAAATTTTTCAAATACTATAAATGTGCATGCTTGCAAGCAAAAATCTTTTGTCCACAAATACTAAAAAGTAAAAAAGTGGAAAAAAACAATGAAATTTTATAAATAATTTCGAAGCGGGATTTTTTAAGAGAGAAGGAAAAAATTATTCCACCTTAGAGCCTGCAATCTTCATGACGCTTCTTACGGAAAGCGGCTTCTCACGATTTTTTGGAGGTCTTATACGAAATCTCATAACCTGAAAATATTATAAAAAAGGTTATGTTATGCTGCTTGCAGAAGTATGCTTCTGTTTTGTAAGTTTTGAGAAGTATATTTCGAGTTTTGAGAGGTATGTTTTGAGAAATTCTGTTATGTAATTATCTCAATTTGAGAAGCAATCTCAAAAAATGTTTTAGTAAGTATGCTTCTGCTATGTAAAATATCAAGATGCAGCGCAAGTGTCGCATTAAGATTTTTTTTTCGACAAATTTCAAAAACATATATCGCACTCAAAAAAGTAGAAAATAACAGCACATCGCACATTCTGGATTACAATAAATCCTACGTTTGCAGATATACGGATGCAAAAGGTAACGTAAATTTTGACGCTCACAACGACGGAGCAGAGATTGCTCCATGGTTATGAGCGAAATAATACGTCTCATTATATGAATGGGCCTGCAATGACTGCGTGAAAAGTAAGAAATTTGCTGAAAAGTTACAAGTTGCATATTTGGTTGATAAACAGTGGACTTTTTATGTAGCCTCGAGATAATAAATGACCACTCGGATGCCTCCGAATCTATTGTGCGTACTGTACTAAGCAAAGGCTGCGAGTACAGTCAAGAACATACGTCAGAACTGCACTACTGGTTGACTGCGTTTCAGAAACATTAAGAACTTCCAAGATATTTGGGTGAGTCATTTTCTAATTTTCCTTGTGTGCTACTAGGATCCCTTTAAACAATATTATAAATCTGGACAGTTCTGTCCATCAGTATTAAAGTATCGAGCAAACACAATTCGCTCATACACAAAATTAATCTACCTCGAAAAAGCATCCGTCCGGTGGTGATAGGCGAATTACTTGTTCTTTTTCGAAAGCTTCTTGGTCGACCGTATTATGAAATTCCAGATTTTCGAAGCGTATCCACCTTTCGGTGTACATCGGTAAAATATCTTTTCGGCGAACAATTTCCTACAGTGTAGGATACGATTAGCTGGACTAGCCAACACTTTCGTCCATTATTTTTCCCCGTCTCTATGGGGAACATCACAGCAAGAAC